ATCAAAGTCAAAGTAGGGGGGAAAGGGGGTTCAAGAATTACCTTTTTTTGGGGTTAACAAGTGAAAGTGGGGCCCCCATCAGTGAGAGTGAAAAAGTTAATAAGCAAAATGAGACAGGAAAAATAAAATATACAACAAGGGAAGGTGGCAGTAGTAGGCCTGCTGAGGCATTGACATCACACAAGTTGTGATACCATTATACATATAAAGTGAAGTGTACATAATGCGAAGTGTATACTATTATAAGTGAAAAGTGAAATCGCGTGAGGAACGTGGGATGTATGAGCATATATGGTTATAAACATCACGGGTGAAGGATCTCCAAAATAGTGATTTAAGGCATATGTACGACGACTACATCATCTGCATCTGGCAACTTATCACCACACCGCTGCCAGTGCAAGTATCACTCACCTATTGTGGTTTGCATGTTGCAGGCTCTGGCTTCTGGTCTTGCATCACTGTTAGATACTGGTCACTCACACCTGTAAGCTATTACCAGAATTAGAGTAGAAATAGCATAGATAAAGTGAAGATAGTGTTGACGAGTGTAAGGGAAAGGCAGACTAAGCGAGTGGTAGCACAGTATTCCCACTGTAGTTATTAGCAGCATAATACCTAGGAAGCTAGGAAGTCCTCTCTCAATGTGAACAAGGAATAGGATAATAACCAGCAATAATTGATACTTAAATCCATTAAGGGCAATACGTGGAATCGCATTACTAGGAAAGACAGCTGGGACTAAATTTGAGCCTACACGACAGAGAGGTATAACGATCTTTCAACTACCCCAAACCCTCCCCCCCCCAACATCTTTCCCCACACACACACACACACACACAACAAGGGTAACACTCATAGAAGCTTTAGACCCAAATAGCAATTTCCGCTTTTATAACCCAGAATTACTGGGAGTATTAGCAGTATCTCCCTCTCATACCTCCCCCCTACACATGAACACACACATATAAAAACATACCACACACACCTGCACTAGGACAAAATGGTAAATAAATAGGCGAATACACACACACACATACCCGAAAACACACACACAACAAACAACACATGCACACACACACATGCACACACACACACACACACGACCCCGCGCACACACACACGCCCCACACCATGGCACACACACCACACACACACATGCACACACATGCACACACACGCACACACATGCACACACACCCACAGGCCCCCATTATCAAGCGGTTATGGTCACTTTACCCTCGGCCCTCTTTCCCAAACCCTTCCCTTCTAATCCATACCACACACACCCCCCTTCTTCTAAGGGTCACTCATCCTTCTCTCCCCTCCCCCCTTAATCCCACTCCCCTCCCTCCCACACATGCACACACACATACACAAGCACAAGCACATATACCTTGACACAAACACTACTCCCCCTTCCTCTAACCACCTCTCCCCCTCACCTAGCCACCTTCCCCTCCCCCAAACCATCTAATCCCCTCCCCCAACTACTTCTCCCCCTCCAATAACCATCCTCCCCCTCCCCCATAACCATCCATCCCCACTCCCCCAAACCATTATTCCCCTCCCCCTAACCACCTCTCCCCTTTCCCTTTTGTGGAGCAATGGGGGAACCTAGTTTCTAGGATGAGAAAAAAGGGGCCTGAAGGACGAATCTGGGAGGGAAGACAGGGAGCAGAGCTCAAAAAAAGGGAGGAAGATGGGGAAGGAGGTAGATGAGCTGGCAAGGAAGATGGAGGAGAGGTTAGCAGCAGAATGCAGAAGGGAAGCAACATGCCACAGCAGCAGGAAACAAGATACAGAGATTAGAAG